AGCTGTTATTTCCAAAACTGATGTTGCTGAGTAGGCTATTGAGACAAGACTGCTCTAGGCATCTCACTGAGTGTAACATGAATATAGTAAGCCTACCCAAATCTCTGACACTGCAGGAACCTTTAAACATCTCCAAGACAGGCTGATCTCTATAGTTTTAATTAAATTTTCTGCCTTGCCTGTTTCTTGTTTGATATTTTCAGCTGTTGTTTAGAAGTAATTCATCAGGTAGGTTGTCTCCAGAAGAAATACAGTAGGTATCTTCAAAAAGCTAATGTTTTTAACAATGGTCTTTTCTGATGTGGGTGATCTCTAACCTGTAAGTGATTTTTATATTTAACATCCTCAGTTTCAGGTAAGTGCATATTATACTCTGAACACTTTAAAAACACAGAGTTAATATTGACCTAACTACCTGTTCTTCGATCCTTTTAATAATTAATTAAATGAATTGTATTTTTGAAGCACCATATTGTGAGCAGTAAATACAGTATACCATACATAAGTTGTGCAAAGTTATTTAAGTTTTTTTCAGGTATATTAACATTCACCTGCATTTGAATTAGTGTTAACTAATTTGGGTATGAAATTCGAATACTTCTGAGTTGTTTGTAGCATACAGTAAGTGTGCTTGGGAAAGCAGATTAAAAATCAGTAAGATTGTGTAGCCAATGACTCACATTCAAACCCTGCTAGAACACATCATGACTTGCAACAGGATTGCCAAGGACAGTAAAGCATAACACTGCACTGCAGTGTCTTACACTGAGAAACATAATGTATGGAATGTTAAATTTGACAAATTAGAAAATATTTCATGTTGTGTTAAAAGCCATGGAAGGCACATAGACAACAAATGTATTGTTTATTTTGCAGAGTTCTTGACAAAGGCATCTGCTGAAATGTAACTCATTGACTGTTCTTCAATAATCTGAAAACAGTTGGGTTTTTAAAGGAAAAAAAAAACTGAATTAACAGGTAAAGTGGTGTCAATCTTTTTTAATGCAAGTGTGGAATACAAAATGCTTTAAAAAACAAAGCCTTCTTTTCAGGTGTGTGAAATCCACACCTTTTCACTTAACCATAAATGACCACAAGGATGCAAAATTACATACAAAAAAACAAACAAACTCACCACTCTGTCACATATCATATCACATCAATCATGGTATTATGGTCAACACAATTGATGGTGAAGTGCGGCTTCTTATGTTAAGCAATAAATACTCTATATTTTAAATATGTTAAAATGACCTACCGGAAGGTACAGGACACATGCAGGGAAAGATCATGCATGGCACAATGGCCATAAAACAAGCATTTGAAAGAGGAAGAAAATCAGCAGTATAACAAAGGGAGGTTTAAGTTGGTCAGTGACATCTCTCACTGACATCCACAAAGTGCAACCTTCCTGGCTAAAGCCTCTGTCTTTGTGTTGGAGATCACCAGGTTGCTAAGATGTAAGACAAGTAAAGTAGTAAATCATTTCCCACAATCCCATGCTCATCAGTCAGATGAAGTCCCCTGCATACGCTCACATCAAAATAATGTAGCTTTCTATGTTTTGGAATGAAAGCTATTACAATTGCTATGTAGGGCCTGCACTCTGCCTTCAGCACCTATAAATAATCCCTCAACCAAAGACAAATGTTTAATGTCAAATCTATAAAGCTGTAATAGCATATATCTATTAAGGTCTTGTAGAAGTGGCTCTTTCAAACCTGAGCCTGTGCAGGCAAGATCTAACACATCTTACAGGTCATTCTTCATCTTCAGTTTATGCAAACGTGAAACGCACATGAGATTTTGAGCATTTTAGTGAGGTATGTCTGACGTAGAGAGATGAGTTATTTTGTTCCTGGCAAGCTGAGGGTACTCATGTTTTCATTTAGTAGAATTACAGTACTGCTTAAACCCTTGACCTGCTACAGCGGTAAATTCTTTCCCATCTTTACAAAATGAGGATTTAGAGGGGGACCTCCACTCTGGATGCCTCTATCCTGCTGTAGGTACACAGTTACAGTACATTGTTCAAGGTTTTCAATTTAGCAGGTAGGTATAGAAGAGATATACTGTAGCATATATATCTAGTAATTAATTTAATGTTGCATAACCTTCGTAAGGACAGTATACATTTAGTTGTGGTTTAAACTTATCTCTACGGCTGTTCTCTGAACCTAAAATGACCATTGTAGACAGTGTTCCAGTTAGTCAGGAAGGAAAATAGTTCCTACTGTAATCACTGCAATGTGTATACATTGCATCTTTAAAACATCAACAGCTGAGGTCTTTTGTTAAATGTTAAATTAGTCCAATTAAGCTTATACTTAGTTCAGTTAGAGGCTTGGGTAGGATTAAAATGTGAGGAGACTGTAGTATTTCTGTAACGAAACGTTCTTTCAGGAAGTTCTTTCAGATGACACAATCAAGGGAGGAGTGAGGAAAACACGGGGAAAAAAGCATGGAAAGGGGCTGCAAGGAAAACAGGGGGTGTGTCCACTGTGTGCTGGTGTTCGGGGAGGTGTGGCCGAGGCAAACAGTCCAAGGGAGTCCGAGGCAAATCCATGAGTAGAAGTAGCCCAACACCAGGCGATCCTTCCTGATGAATACGAACAAAATTAAAAGCCGGAGTGGGGTCCGGCGGAGGGACGGGGGAATAAAAGGGGGGTCGCGGGACCAGACGCTCCCTAATCCTGGACTCAGAAGGTCAGGACGCCGTGATGAAGCCTGTGCCATCGAGTCGCTCCTGGACTCGCAGGTAGGCAGGCTTCTGGGCGTCCATCTTCCAAAGCTGAGCACAGATTGGCAGGAACGCCTGGCTTTTATAGGACAAGGGCAGGAACCAGAGGCAGGTGCAGGGGATCAAGAATAAAACCAGGAAGGGCTGGAGCATCCTTAAGAGGAGGGGTTTAAGATTAAGAGCATGACAATTTCAGATCCGTTATTTTCATTGCCTGCATTTCTGTAAAAAGAGATGCATAAGGACCTCTATTTTATCATTAAAAGGCAATGTCCTTCAAAATCATATAATGATAATGACACAAAGCCTTTAAATTTACACAGTGAGCTACTGTTTTAGGTAATAATCCTTAAAATGAGGAAATCTGTATCTAAAGCCCAGTATGTGTTTTAGTTTGTGCAGTGCATTGTTACGACAGCATTAATCATGCATGATAATTGTGGCTGAGCTATGCTGTGCATTACCTCTTATCTTTTTCTTTGGCATTGAGACCAAGAAATATTGGAAACGTGTTGCTCAAGGCCTAACTTCAGGGGCTATTTATAGTTATCTACATTAATACCACCATGCAGCTGGATCCTGTCACACTACTTTACTGATGTGTCCCTGCACAGTCACCAGAACACCAAACAGTGCATGTTTGTGAACTTTTTGAAAAAAAGTACTGACATAAAATTAGGGCTTAAATTTGTTGCACTGTACTTATAAATGTATGGGTTCCACTCTGCATGGGAAGCTTTTTTATTTACCATTGTATGATGTCTTGGTTTTTGTTACATGTATTTGTCATTGTATATGAGAGATTTAATATGTGGTGGGATATCAAATGTAACATATTTTTGAAATTATCTGATAATAGGATAATTATCTGTGCAATAGGCTCCTAAAGAATATTACTTAGTCTATAAAGATGTATGTATTGATGCATAGGACTAAAGCTATTCAGCAATACATACATACTGTACATATTATTACTATTACAAAACTGGAAATCATGCAAAGAACTACAGTAGTGCTGGTGCAGATTTTTTTTGGTTAAACACTAAACATAACTGAAGAAGTGAGTAAAAAAATCTACATGACAAGTCCTTTAAATAAGTACTTATTTAGGATTCTGAATAAGAGTGTATCACCTGGGATGCCAGTAAAGAAAACTGGGAGACAGGAAAATGTTGAAAAATTAAATATTTTTTTCCATTTAATGCATATACAGTATAACACTGCTTGTTTAAAAAAAACAACTGAAAACAATACAGACTTAGTAGACAAAAAGATGTAACTAACAATCTGTTTTCATTTTTTATTGGTGTATTTCTTTATTTAAATGGGATACCAGGAAGTTTTCCCCATGTTTGTTTGACTTTCCTCTGGGCACAGTGGTTTTCTTCCATGTTCCAAACACTGCTGACTAGTTTTTTTTTTTAGTGTCTCTTAATTTTGGTCTACAGTGGATTGGCCTCCTATCCAGGATGTAGTCCATCCTAGCTCATGTACATCCAGGATGAGCTCTGGGTTGTTATAAGCCTCGCTAGAAATATGAGCAACTTTCTGATAATGGGAGGGATAAGTCATTTTAGCCTTGTACTGAACTTTGTTGTACTGTTCAAAGACAAAAGGAGTAAACCTTTTGTCTTTAACTAAAGCACACCAGGGACTAGAGTATTACAGTATGTATTGAAACTGAAGACTGGAGCTCAAGTCTCAAAGCTTTTACTTAACTCAAATCTAATGTGATAAAGTGTTTTCTACCATGCCTTTCAGAACTGATTTTCATCTGAGGCTGCCAACAGATTGACTGACTGGCCAATGAGAAACCTAATTTTTCAAAGCTCAAACTGGTTATTCAAACAATTAGTCTCCCTGCAGACTGAAATGTATTTGAATCTATACTGTACGTGCACCTTCACTGGGCAGCTTGCATACGATCAATCTGCCACGGGGACATCGCGAACATTTGTTTTCAAAATTGAAATGCAAAAAATGTCAAATCTGTCTCTCCAAACTGTTACCAAATAACCAACACTTTCTTGTACCTGGGCACAAACTCAGGTTATTCATGAAGAGCTAAACACAGCACCTGTTTTGAGACAATATATTATTTGATTGGAAATACTTTTAAAATAATGCTTCTCTTCTGCAAGCAATATGTTAACCAGGGGAACCAAGCTCAAAAGTTAGTTATTTATTTTCTCTCTTTATAACCTGAATTTTGATGAAGGCTAATGTAAATTTGACCTCATTCTCTTCCTGTCCTCCACAGACAGCACAGACGGTCCTGGTGGTAGTGATCGTGTTCTGCATCTCCTGGTTACCCCATCATGTGGTCTACCTTTGGGTTGAGTTTGGATCATTTCCCCTCAACCAGGCCTCATTTGTGTTCCGAGTAGCTGCTCACTGTCTCGCCTACAGTAATTCCTCTGTGAATCCCATTATATATGCCTTCCTCTCAGAAAACTTCAGGAAGGCCTACAAGCAGGTCTTTAAGTGCCAGATTACAGGTGAATCCCCTTTGAACGACGTCAAGGAGATTCGAAGCAAAGTGGACACTCCGCCATCTACCAACTGCACCAACGTGTGAGTGCACTCAGCAAGATTGTCTTTGGTCACAGAAAACAAAACAGGTCCAAGCAAAAGAATGTTGATAATCCTTGGTAAAATGGGATAGTCTAGAAAATAATTTTCTGGGATGGAAAGGAGATGAGAGCCAGCCTTTTGTGTTACGTTATAAACTGAAACCTCAATGCTGTTTAAAATTCAACCAGTATTATACACCATTTCTAAATCTCTTTTTAGAACAAAAACAAATACTCCACTTGTCTTCAGTTGAAGCTGCTGGTGTCACAAAGGAAGAGTAAACAAGCAGGCCACCTTTGGAAGCAGGTCTCAGAGTGTTATTAAATGATCACTAAAATCTAAATGTTCTCTAGTTTTGAAGCTGGATTTTTTATTAGTTACAGTACTTTCAATAAAAATGGTTAAATGACCAACTACAGAATAATCCATCTTCTGCACATTTGTTGTGTAGAGAACCTGTTTTAATTGGCTTAAGTAGTACACAATTGGGCTTAGATATTAAACTGATAATTTTAGGTTACAAAGGCACATAAATCTGTTGCTTTAAGAAATAAATTCAGCAAGGTACTGTGTGAAAACCACAACTCAGTTAGAAATGAGAAAGCTGACATTTGCTTACAATTAATGCATATTGTGCATGCATATGAAGATTTAAATGTGTTGTGAACACTTATTAAAGTGCATGACTTTTGAATACTTAACACTTCACCTAAATGTGACAGTGTGAACATCTATGAACCACAGCATTGTTTCTGCCTTAATCGGCCTTCATAGAAACATTTATATTAAGGTTCTATTGTGTGTTTGAACAAAGAGTTCACATCTACTAAGATACCATCTACAAAGCTGAGACCGATGCTGCTTGCATTGTTGCTGCTTTCCAGAAAAAAATAGCTCCTGAAAAGACTTGAGGAGAAAAACAAGGCAATGTATTATTCTTCCTGTGAAAACGGGACTGAGCACTGTACCACTCTCATTTGGTTTAGGTCCATGGACTGTTTCTCTGCATTCACCCTCAGAAAAATGTAAAATACCCTTATTTAAACATTTCCAATTATAAGACTGGAGACTGGACACACAACTAAATAACTAAGGAAAATACAGAAACAGAGTGAGAATATGAAATTCTCTATGACTTGTATTTTAAGACAGAAGCATTATTGTAAGTTCACTTAACACAGGATTTAATTGTTTTTGTGGCCCACACCACAATGGTGCTGTTGAATTAAATAATTTTATTTTTAATAATAATATTAATAACAACATAATTATTTTTTTCTATGCGTAATTCTGAAGAAACACTATATGAAATTGAAATGACAATATGACCTTACAAACCCTGGTTATAAAGAGGTTGTACCAGTTGAAGCTCCTATAGAGTAGATAAAAAAACCTGTCCTTATTATGAAGAAACTGAAGTTGTGTTTTTAACAATTCAGAAGTTGTGGTTTTAACTGCGTTGTTGCTCCCTTAAGTTGTTTGGTGAGTGGTTTTTATAGAATGCTGCAGATGAGCAGCTGTGCCAGATACAGTGGTATGTCTAGTCAACACTGAATGACAGGTGACCCACTCTTTTAATTTGCATTATTTGCTTGAACCACAGACACTTGTTAATTATTGTACACTAACACACTCTTTGCCCACATGTGCTCACTGGCCTCACAACCATGTCATGGGTTTTTGATCTGGCTATCTGTCTAGTTTAGCAATTATTTTTTTCTTCTACTTGAAGAATGATCTGGGCACCATTCAGAGAGTCCTTCACAACATGCATAGAAAAACACAAGGGGGACCATCAGGGAAATCACTAACTGGCCCTGGGCAGTCCATATACAGTAGGTAAATATTGCATTTGTCTTTAAGGCATAAGACATCCTAGAATTTATTTTTCTGTTGAAAAATAATTTGTCAACATTTTTATTTTTTTTCTCAACAGTCATCTAATTAACTTGCTTTCCACATAGCATTACCTCAGGCAGAACCAGAAATGTACACACTTACAGTAAGTCACAGTAAACACTTCAGTAATCAACAGCTGGGTTCTTATTCACATTGGATTGCTGTGTGGACAGAGCAGACTCCCTTTTGTGTTAAATAATTTTACTTGGCATTTAAACTGGCCACATTACATTTTGTTGCACTTACTGTATCTCACAGGCTTATTATTTCCTTGTTTATTTTGAAGACATGCTTGTTTTGTTTATTGAAGATTGACATCCTCTGAAGCAGGGAATTCTATTGAAAACTCTCCTCATCCCAACAAAACCATGTAGGTTTTGATGTTTAAGTACTGTACGTAGCTATTTGCTGCCACAAGTAGTTACTGTTACATTTTACATAGCCTTCATATTTCCCTGCCATCCTGGAATTGAAATACAAAATAAAAGGCAGGGTCAAGTGGGAATTCACCATGAAAAGGTCCCCTGAGTAAGGTTCCTGGCTCAAAGGCATTCGTGTCAGCAGGAACTTGGAGGCCAAGGATTATATATTCCTCTTCTGTGTGTTTTTGAACATATCTTTCAATTGCTAATGTTTTCTATTAAAATGCAAAGTTAAATGTAAATATAGGTTTCCTTTTATTAAGAGCAATAGAGAATAATTTCTTGATGTTATTACGCCCAGGACTAGCAATCATGTTGACTGAGAGTCATTCAAACCAAATGCAGTGGCAGTTTCAATGCAAATAAGGCACAATCCTTTTTACTTTACCGGTGTGACTGAACTAAATGTGAAGTAGCCACAGTGCGAGGTTCTCTTAATTTCACTTCGGCATTAAAGTGATAAAACACAAAGGATGAGGAAAGAACTAGACTTATTATGTATAAGGTAGTAGTGTATACAGAACAGTAACTTAGCTTCCTTAGTATGCTAAATGTGTTCAGATCCTTCAATGTCAGTCTTTGGGTATAGGATTGGAGTCTTTGAGTTGCATGGCTAGAGATGTAAAAGGGCTGGAGCTCAGGGTCTGACCTGTGCTGCAGTGGAGCTGTAGTTAAATGAAGTCATTCTTAGTCTCTGAGGAGACTGAATTTAGTTGGGGAAAATGCATTAGGGCTCTTAATGTGTAATGCAATTAGTATATTTCCTCCATTGACTTCTTATGAGACATGAGACAGTAACTGCACATGTGGATTGTTGGTGAAATCTTAGGTGGGATACTGCTGTTGTTACCACTAAGCAAGGTACTTCAATGCAGTAAATGCCCTGCTGTATGAATGAGTTCCAAGATTTGACAACAAATTCTAATTTTTTCTCAGTGGTCCTACCTAGTGAAATAAAAATATATATTCAATGTTTCGAAATGTATTAGAGGCACTTACAGTACCCTAAAGAAAGTCTTGAGAAAGCAATAACATTTTTTCCATGATACTGAGCACACATAAAATTGTACAACTTCCCCAACTGTACATAATTGCTTATAAAACAAACCTTCAGTAGAAAGTGGTACAATGCTCTGTTCAAGACAGAGGTCTACAGAAATATGAGATGTTTTGCAATGCTTTTAAAGCAATTACTGTATTAATTTAAATTGAGTGTTATGCTTAAATATTATTAGTACAAAATTCATTAATTGGTTATTAAAACAATTTTCAAGAAACAATATTTGATTTATTGTAAATAAATGTATCTTATTTGCTTTGCAGTATTGTTATGTACCCAGTGCATTCACTTCAAATACTGTTTCAAGAATGTCATCAAATATTAACAACATGATATCGGTATTTAGCAATAGCATAACTTTATTTTATTCTGTAAAGATATACAAATATAACTTGGGACAGTAAGGGCTTTCACATTTTGCTAATGGTTAACACAGAAATGGATATACAGGATTTACTGATGCACATAAACACCAATTAACACCAAATAGTGTTAGAGGTTTCTGTGCTGGTTGATTACAGAATTCTGAGGAAAAGGTTTATATGATAATTGGTGATGTACTGTATAGTGTTAATACTGTATGTTCTTCACTTCTTCGTTGTATACCTGTAACACAGGAAAATTTACATTGAATACCACAAAACATATTTCTTGCATGTTTCATTTTGGGGTGTCAGTGTTTACCAAGACAAGAACTGCAACAGATTTTAAACATTTAATGAATGTATTGCTCTTTCAGTTTTACTTTATATAACTGTTAAACATTTTGTAGTAGCAAAATTGTTTTTGAGGAATACTGTGTGGCATTCTTATTCATTAAGTGTAATCACAATTTGAGCGCTTGTGTTACATTTGAAAACAGGAAAACAAATTAGCCGAAAGGCTGTAGTTCTGCGTCTCAGGTGTAGTAAGTGTTGAACACAGTATTGTCTGCTTGTCATATTGAAACATAAATGGTACCCTGAGAGAAGAGTCCTTCATCTTGACCTCTCCTCTCCTCTTTCTTTTTTAAAAGTGTATATACAGTACTGTAACATTTGTCAAATGTACTGATTCTACAGATTTACTGCTTTTCACAAACTGTTTTAAAAAGGGAATTATGATTTCAGCAACTAAGGAATACTTTAAGATTGCAATGGCTTTCCCTCACAAACAAGAATTATTTTGTCAAGGCTTTTGTTTAACAGATTTTGTCTAGAAATGTATTAAAAATCTGTTAAAATGTAAATTATATATGTTTTCCAACCTTGAAACAGACAAATGAGCATTTTACACTGTGCAGCATGCTTACAATCCACATTTTTGTCCTTCACTGTGTTTTATAAAACAACACTACCTCCCCTGGTTCTACAGTAGGCTTAATTAAAATTTTTGTATGACCAGATGCATAGATTCAGGCTAGATAAAACAGCTCTGTCAGTAATAGCCTGGGACCAGCTGACTAAAATCTGTGGTCCTGATTCCCAGATTAATGAATTGCTGATGTTGGTCTTGTTGACCATGGTGATCAAAGGCACATAAACGATTCAGTGTCCTTTAACAAACATGTTACTGCTACATCTGAGTATAGTATAGCTTCTTAAATATTAATTTCCTTTCCTTTTTTTTCACAGGATCCATATTGGAAAAAAAAAGTTTTTTTCCTGCTACTGTTCAAAAGGTTACCCTTGTGTTAAATCATGAGGCTCTTAGGCTGGGAGTATGGCCAACAGCAGTCACAAATGCTCAGGACATTTTGGTTGGACTATCGCAGATATAGGATATACTGTAGAAGCATTTCTCATTGATCCAAGATTTGGGGAAGCTGAAGGTGTAGGTTTTTATTTCATATAGGCAAATTTCAAGCTGATTTTGAATATGCATTGTTTGATACAACACTGGATTCTCAGTGGTATAAAAATGTTGTTTTTAGGGGAGGGGCAGTGACCAGATTTAACATTTCCTGGCAATGAGGAATAGGTCAGTTCTCCCTTTCAAATTATGACATTACACATCTACAAACCCAATCCTACTTATGTGTAACAGCTCAGATCCTCCTTTTCTAGAATTTGATTTTATAGGGATTTCCAACTTAAACATAGCTGACAATGTGTGTTGACTTTGTATGCTATTGGATTTAGATTGAATACAGTACTTATCTTTGATTCTGGGTACCCCCTGGACAGTCTCTGATGTTTCCTTTACCCCCTATTGAAAACCCTGGTTTTAGAGGCAAGTCACACACTGTTCTAAAGGACTCAGAAGTCATCAGGACTGTCTATAGAAGCCCTTTCACTGCTAATTGTGTACACACTCCTCTTCAAGAAGGCTAAAGGACCTGTCCATCTCTGTCTCATTTAGAACTGGGGCTGTTTAAAGACTTCAACAGAAGCAACATGCTTTCTATAAAAGGAATCATATCTTAAGTGTTTTGTTTGTAAAGCTTCTTCTGCTGTTTCCAACATTTCCATAATGTATATGTGATATTACTTTACTTTGCCTTAATGGCTTATTATCTAAATTACTTTAATGGAAAAAGGGGACTTAACTGCAACTGCAGCCGTGGCTGAGAGCACAGACTTGTTAAAAGCATTATCTTAAGATGGTGATACAAAGAAGTAAGAAGCTAGGCACATGATTTCTACATCCTGGGTACTTTGATTCCAATTAGGTTACCATGGAAAGTTGCATTTATGAAAGCTAGTCAGATGCAGGGCTTTGTTCAGCAACAAGACAGAAACACGAACAGAAAGGGGAAGAGGAAGGACATGCCTGCAGCCCTTCTCACCATCACATTGCAGCACAATTGGAAAAACCTGCTGAAAGCACATAAGGTTTCTAAATTACTCGAACACAGCAGTGAAAGCGAATGCATTGAGAGCTCAAGTACTCAGAATAGCTGGGCAATGTCATTTCGTATTCCTTGTTAACTCTTTTTTTGTACTTTTCTATTCTGCCCACTTGGCTTCAGTTCCTGTAATGTTATTGTGACCTTGTACTGCGCCATAGTCATGGTGTTGTGATGCATTTATCTACATGATATACTGCTAAAGGAATAAATAAAGAGACACTGTGTTGCTTAGCACTACTTTCTCCACTCTTCGTTTTCAGATTGAGGCAATGTTAATAAAATTTGTTGTGCTTCATGTACCATATGTGTATTATTGTCATTTTTCTACTTTGGTAGTTTTTACACTTAGTGCTCCTTTTAATGTAAAACCTGAGTCTTTGTTCAGCCATCTAAAAAAAAGAATTGATATTTCTCAGGGTTGTGAGACAGTAAGCAAGCTCTTAAACAAGACCAGAAACACAAATGGGAGAGAAAGGGTTAACCAGAGAAGAATAAAACCTAATCTTTCCCAAGGGGAAAAGAAAAAAAAAATGTGCAATCACCAACTGAATCCCTAGAAATCACAAAAACAAAACTGTAAAAAAAGTGCCCATGAAACAAAATGAATATTCAAACATAAATACAGTACACGTCAGTCAGTAAAACTGTACACAACAACTAGAAACAACTATTTTCTGGCATTATTTAACACAATGTATACATACTTAATCAAAGTTGACAGCAACCTAATAAGTGGAGCTTTTTATTTGCTGTGCAGAGCTACATTGACTTTAATGCATATCATTTAGTTTCCTACTCTGACAAATCAGCAAGTTGTACCTCTGATTAATGAACAAGTCAGAGATGCGCTGCATTGACTGAGCAGTTAAATAAAGTGAAGCCAGTGGTATTTAACAATATGAGCGAGTTAGAAGAAATACAATGGGCTGTGTTTGGAAACAGTTTGAAAGCCTGAAGGGAAATATGCACCCTGTTTTCATGACTCCTTATTGGGAATCCCAAGCCACCAGTCACTCGGGGGTTAAGAGCAATCGAGCTTGAGATAGAGAAGGACAGACATCTGCTCCTCCCATCTGCTGCTTAAGTAAACACCAGATTCCCTGAGAAATTAGCCCAGGGCAAACAAAATAAATTCGCACTCTGAATCAGACAATGCAACACAAATTACAATATTTGAGTGACTCATGGAGAAAAGGCACTTGTTTGAAGGGAGACCAAGCCCAATATTCCAGACATTAGTAGTCTGAGTCATTGCTATGTCAAGCAGCTATACCAGCACTGGGCAGGCTTTATCCAGTCAGGGTACTCTTGGCCTACTACAGTATGTAACTGTGACACCGATGTGCCTGGGGTGTTGTCAGTGAAAGCTCCTGTGCTGTGGGACTCGCATCTTGAAAAATGATAAAAGTCCCAATCAAATTCTCATTACCACAGGAAAGCATTCATACTGCCCTTCCTCTCACTGCTGGTATAAGGGTCACAGAGGTGAGCTGAGTTAAGTGATCACTGATGACTCCAAATTATGGGGTACAGTATTTAGAGTAAATGATCAGTGGCTCAACATTTAAGAAAAACATCAAATTATTTATATACTTTCAGTTTTCTTAACAGTTCCTCCCTCACACAACATCTTTTAATTCTGTGTAACATTACGGTACAAATAACACTATCTAGGTTTCAGATCAATGTCAATCAGTGGCAGGGTACTGATGGTATAGATGCGGAATGCAGAGTAAGTATTCTTATAAATAGAACTATTACCTAAAAGAGCAAAATGTCAGCCTGATCTGGTTGATGAAAGGTAATGAGGGCAGTGATGGTCAAATTCCTTACAATCCAGCATTAAGGTCCCTGTGTCGGAGTTAGTTCGGACACGGTAACGTCATCACCCTCCCTGCACGTAGCAGGGACCACAGCTGCCTGGGCTGGGGGAGGTCTCCTTCAGCTCATGTGGCTGGCTCCCTGTTACACGGAGACCCGGGTTCACGCCCCAGGAGTTGCAGGGTGGACTGGCGGAGAGCATGAGCCCATGTGGAACTATGACAGTCACACCTGTATTAATCCAGAGGTCATGCTAACATTAAAGGATAAAACAGATTTCCCAAGGATGTATTCTGATCTCTGGAAAATCAGAGTATTCTTCACCTTTAACTTGTGATTCCCTGAATTTTGTCAGGCACTTTCATCACACACTAGACTGTGATTTTGAGAAGAGGCTATTGTGATTATTTGTCAATTTGCTAAATGCATAAAAGAAAGTCATAAATGTTCTATTTTTTTGCTACATACTGTATTCAAAAACCGGGTACCTGCAGTTCACGGGGTTAATAAGAGTAAAGGAATGTTGAAGTAAGATTGAATTGATACAAAAGAGTAAATATTAATGTCCCTCATCTGGAACAAATTGCATAATCATTTCTAACCCGATTCTACCATCTATTAACTGAAACATTTTAATAATACAAGCAAACAGTTCAACCTAAGAGCTTGATGAGCCCAACTAACAAAATTCAGTTAGAACAATAAAAACAAGATGACCGAGGGGTACCTAAGAACCAGGACTGAAACGCAGTCTGGTTTTCCTGCTCAAATGGTATGGCAGATACCTGCATGATCTGAAATCAAAGATTAAAGAAAGCAAATACAAAATAAAGGAGCACAGAAGTGCTTTTTTTCTTGTATTTTCTTTATTTCAATCTTCTTTTTATCTTACCACATACTCCAGAGGTGGTCTGTTTTTGAAGACCTTTGCTGGAAGAGCCCCACTTATCACTTTTCAAAGTGCTATCATATCACTGAGAGAAATCTAAAATGAAACATACAGATGAAAACACTTCACTAACAGCACTATAGCCAAGGTGCAGCCAAAAAAACAACCTGAAAAGAATTGCACAACTCACTCTAGTGTGGACATTATTCTTTCTACAAAGGTTTGCTATCCATTGTTCTTGTGTAACTAAAACTTGTGGGAAATATAGAGCAAGGATGTTGATTGCAAGTCTCTTCTGTCTCCTACTGGGATTTAATCATGGCCACTCATGTGCCCAGATTAGAAACCAAGAGACCGGATCTCCAAAAGGTCATCTGCCAAGAGATACTGTTCAAATTTCAAGAGCAACGTCACTTTGTGTTACAGGCATACATGTGACACCATTGAGCTTTGTTAGACAAGAACTTGAGAGCACAGATGCATAATCTCGAAGAAGCTCTTATTAAGATGTGAACTTAATAAAGAGGTAAAGATAATTTTTGTTGTGTCTTTTTACCATTTTTACCAGGAATTTACCATTTGGGCACCAATACTGTCTAAATTGGGTAATTATGATCATCTAGAATTATGAGTCCTTATTGTTCTCTTTTCCATAGGCTCTTAGAAGCTGATGCAACTTAGTCTGATACATGTAAGACTGAATCTTCACCATTGTCAAATCTAATTCCAGATGGTGCACTGCTGTTTTACCCTTGAGCAAGGTACATTCAAATCACCTCAGTAAAACATACAGCAGTATAAATGGGTGCAATTTATAACTCGATTTGCATAAAAGCATCAGCCAAATTACTTCTAGAATAAGTGTTATCTTACAGTTAGCTATCTTAGAGCTATCTCCAAATATCTTTACCTATATCATCTCTTCCCCAGCACTTCTTCCAGACACACCTGTTCAGACTTGCTCTTTAATTCTACCTGAACCTGTCCCTAGAACCTCTAATTATACTGTGTAATAATATTGTATATTATCAGTTTTAGCAAATCACTGCTTGGCAGCTTGGGTGATGTCAGGATGCATGTCACAATATTTTTCTAGAACCCTTAACATTAAATCAGGCTTCAGATTTACAGTTACTTTAAAAATCTTTAATGTGTATGGTATATTGCTTTTATAGCCTTAATGATCAGACTTTCAGAACTGTATCTTATTGTTCAGACGTCTGTGCAACAGTAATTGAATTTAATTTTCAGCTGTGCTTTTCAGCATTTTGGGCAGCCTCACTTTTGCGATGTACAGATGCTAGTTGTATAGAAGTGACATGAACAGTCATACAGTATGTGCATCTATGTTATGACCATAATTTCCTGTTGATCATTGTCTATCATGATGGGAAGCTACCCTGGAGTAATTCACATTTGGAGAATCTGTGCTTTCTGTTTCACAATACATCTATTATTAGCTTGTACTCTTCCAGGGAGCCATAGCACTTCACTAAACTTACAGCTCACACACTCACAGAAAACATTTTTCTGTATATTGGTAATATACAGTATATAAATATACAGTACTGTACTGTATCTACTGTATGTATAGAGCATACTCAATTCCTGTAGGGCCAAGTGACTAGTTTTTGTTCCATCTGGAATAGTCTATTAAGCAATTATCCTAATGATCTTATTTAGACATACATGGGCTTTTTCTTCAAGTCTTTCCCAGCTGATTATTTACATTCTTCAAGTCATTAAAGATACAGTTACCTATAAACACCTTGGAGCTTTGTTAGAATTATTACAACGATGCAGTTAATTAAACAATTAGACAGACAATGTAATGGAAAGGAACAAAATGAAAAACGTCAGGGTAAGAGAGAACTCTAGTGCACTCTGTTCAGGCGTGTGTTTCTTCTGGAGGTGTAGGTTTGAATTTAACTCCTCATACTATACTTATACTGAATGAGCTACAGTAGGTGGGGTTAATGGTGTCTCCTCATTTGTAATCTACTGTATCTCATGTTCTTAATAAGACATTAGGCACTCCACAGATTGAGTTAGACACTTCAATTTTTAAAACTTAGTTCAAACCTTGCGTGTACCTAAATATAAAATCCAGACTCTGTTATATTGTTTCATGTAATGTTGCATCACCTTACAATTACATATTATGTGACATTTTGCAAAAAACACACAAATATCCATTCATTCATTGTTCAGACCTATCCACATTTTTGATGACACTGAGAGTAGAATGATTCAGGAAATACCAAATAAAGTTTTATTTCATTAGTCAACATACAGTAACTACCGATTTCATCAGTAGTGAACAGGAGAGTATCTAAGCAAGATGTGCCAGTAATAGACAAGGTGTTGTCTTAGAGGCATCCCATCTGCAGAAGTGAGAAGATGTTTTTGGGCTGCCATCAACCTTTGACATCTGTGACATTGATGAATCTGTCCTAACAAAAAATATGGGAAATGGTTTGAAACAGATAGAGCCTTAACAATGTTTGGCAAGCTGAGTGGCTTTCTGTTCCTGCCTGTGCCTGCAAAAGGACCATACTCTGCATGGCTCATAGACTTTGGCTTGTGAGCAGAGCCCAGAAGACAGCTGTGCCTTTATAGAAAAAAACCCCCAACATGTTTTAGGAATCTTTTCCAGCCTTTTGGGAGAAACTTGCCAGTTTTTCAAACTTGAGAAGTGGAACGCTGGGATTGTCAAACACTCTAGAAGCACTTCAAAAAATGTAGAAAACATATCCAGTTGTTGTCACTGTTTTAAGTCTTCAGGGCCATGCTGCAGCATAGAAACGGAAGTCAAGTCAAACATGCATTTGAAGCTGGCAGCAATCACAAGGCTCATAACCCTGGCACACTTCTGGCACTGCGCTGTGAGAGCCCTGGATACCACATTAAAGAACGAAAAGAGACCGAACAAAAAGAGCTTCTAAAGCCCATTCTGGCATCATGTCAACCTAAACTAGGCTTAGCAGAGAGAAGAAGTCATGCCACCAATGTAAATAAAATAAAAGTGAAAGTAAGCAGATGGCTTCCCACTGCAGGGCAATTTCTGAGTGACATGCACCAGCAGAGAATAACTTGTGTCCACCAGGGAAATAAATAACAAAAAAAGAGATATTCCTAACCTGACTGTGACATCTGCCTTGACAAATTTCATGCGTGCCACATCCCAACCCAATTCCAAATATAAGTAGTAATGATACCGCAGCATTTAATGGCTAAGTATTGTTTCTGATGAAAGAGCTTCATTCATTTTTTTTAACACCTTGCTCCCCCAAAAGGAGGACAAATGGGTTTACTTCAATACCCACTAGCTTATTTGCCTTTATACTGTAAGTAAAAGTGCTAATGGAGCAGAAATGGGAAAACAAGAGATGAAATTGGAGGAGACAGGTTGGGTCAGGGCTAAGGACTGCTCCACCCTACATGAAGTGCAGATATCCTTAGGAGGCAGATTAGTTCTTTAACCAGTGTAAGTGTAGTGCTGTGCTGTCTGTGCTCAGCTATGCTGTTAAAGGTCAAGCCCAAGATTCTTTCAGGAAATAGTTTGATAAAATCATCAGATCAATTTTCTACTAGCAGTCAAATGAAGAAGACTCATAGAATGTTTTGTTAATGTCAAATGAGTAACATATCATTTCCATAAGTACAAGTGGTAGAATATCAATCTTAAGTGCTTGCTGTACCTTCTGTATAACTCTTTTGCTTGATCTAAGATCATATTATTTAGTACAGGATTTAGTACAGTTTTTTCTCAGCCTGAAACTTGCTATCTATTTTTTTTTCCTGGTAAACACCATTGGAACGCTCAAGTTTTTTTGGTTGCCATGGAGACCAGTCTCATCCCAGGCAGCGAGGGGCTGCAGGACCCTGCTGAGCAGACAAGCACACAAGCCAGGAAGCAGCATAAACCGAGAGACAAATCTGAGAGTCTGTACGCAGATTACACACACACAGAGAGAGGGGACACAAGGCTAAAAAGCAACTTCATCCTCTGCATGGAGCAGCCTGTAGCCTGTCACATCACTTTCTGTAAGCCAGGGACAGGTGGCTCTGGTCCTTGTGTGCTGCAATTTTTTCTGCCTTTCATTTCATCTTGGACCTCAATGACTTAATTGAATCAATTTAGAAATAAAACCACTTGTGTTTTTCCATGTATTACTCAGGTGCTAATTGAAAGGTACTTTTAAAAGCTGCAGGAACCCAGCTGCAAAAGGGATGCCTACCCTTCCTGTATGTCATACATCTGCATAAATAAAAATGGATCTGTCACAGAAGACACTGCTGTCACTGCTTAAAGAGCAGAAGCACCCTGATACATTAGTCCCTAGCTTAATTTAAAACTTGACTGATTCACCGGTATCCTCTGCAAGAAATAAACAAACAATTTATATTTCTAAACTAAAAAAACGTAGAGTATAATTATCTTATTATGGTTTATTAAAGGAACCAAAAGTATTACTCTGGAAAACTGCAGTAGTTTTGCTGCTGGGAACATCCTACACCTGCAAGTCCATGTTGAGAGGGGTTCCCAGTAAGCTTTAACTTAAACTGGAAAAAATCTGTTACATCATGACTTAAGCACTCCGCCATATATGCAAGTCTGCAAAACTGGTTTGCAGTGTCTAATGAGAGACTGCTGGGGTGCAGCTTTATGACTACGGAGAAGATTTGAAGGTCTATAGAATGTGACAACTCCAAACTGCTATAATGACATCACTGCCAATTCTCAGACAGTGCTGTGTGTTAAGGTCACTGTGATCTGTAAAAGAGCCACAGTAAAATGTGAGCCTGAGCAAAACCCATTACACAGACAAAGCCAAGATTCCCAGAAACAGTAGCAAAACAACCTATGCATAGCATCAAGAGTACATTCAGAACCATGGTCAGAAATATAAATAATTATTGATTATTGATATTTTGTGTTTCAGGTCTTGCCGAAGTTTCAAAGATGAGTCCAAATACATCAGCAAATGGATTTGAAAAAGAAAAGGATTGAAGTGAAGGCTTTACTTCCACATTTGTTACCATCAAGGTTTCTACTCTGCAATGCTCTTGTATGGCACAGGATTGCCAGTTTCAAATTGTATTAGCCACTGCCCTAATAGTAAAAGAATGATTGCAGATGTAGTAAGATGTGAATTCTTCCTTTAATAGATTGTTCAGTATTTTGACCTACTGTACTTGCAAAGGATAAATCTTGGGGTCAAGGATTTTGGCATTGAAAGTTGGTCTTTGTGAATATTGGGAAAAGCCTACATTTTAAAAACTATGAAGAATCCTCGCTATGGATCCTTTAAACACCTTTTTTGAAGATCTTTAGGAAGATACACATCATAAGCAGTCAATCTCAAACATCCAGGCATACATTTTTTGATTCATGTCTTCATTAATATACCCAGCTGAGCAAGTTTTGGAAAATACATTTCAGAAATTATGTTGGCCTTATCTGCATTTTACTTAATAGTCATATGCACATATCCAGAGAGAAAGAAAGAGAAGATTGCCACCGCCCTTTAAGGAACTCAGACAATAAAAATATTAATCACAGCAAAGCTTAAATTTTTAATCAGAATGACTACCTGAATACTGTACTGGCCAGTAATAGGTTTAGATGCTATTTACTTTCATTTAAACTCAATCCTGCAGGCTTTGATTCTAGCACCTCTCTTAATGATCCAATTGAACTAAACCAATAGGTTAATTGGGAAAATATACAGTATAATAGATTTTCCCAGCAAATTCTGAGGTGTTGTGGATTTAAATAGAATGGAGTTGGAAATCCATGATCTAAAGCTTAAATTGTGAGTGGCATTCTAAGTTTACATTTTAGAATGTAACCACTAGAGTTTCTATCTACACTTTCAGCGGAAACCATTTTTTTTTCCTAGGAGGTCTCTCAGCACTGAGCATGTCCAGTCTAATATAGCAGAAATGCACAAAGTAAAAAAAAAAGTCTTAGGAATTCCTACATGGTTAGCCCCATCTTTACTGACTCTTAGTAGTTAAGATGGGGCTAACTTGGGGCAGAGCTTAAAGCATAAAGAATAGCTTCTAAGCCAACCTGTGTAAAAGATGCTCCAGGTGGCTGCGTTTTCAAAATTAGACTGAAGACTTACAGTACGTTTCTCTGATTTTCTGGCTTGTTTTCAGGTTCATGAAGGGTTCTGTGAAAACACACAGCAAAATGCACTAATTTAAAGAAATGTTTATTGTTTGAGTGAGATATCTTGTAGAATTTAACTGGAGCTTGTCCAACCCCAGATCTTCCTCCTAATTAAACAAAGCATACCACAACCCAGTCTAGCACAATATTGATATTTTATAGGTTCCAGGACAAATAGAGTTAACTTAATAATACCTACAGAGTTGCAAAGCTAAGGCAACAGGCTAAAATGTGTAAAAGAAGACAACATTTTAGACTTAACTTTCCAGGATGATAAGTTTCCTCTTGCAAGTTAATTGGTGAAGCATAAGAAAGCGTCCTTTCTATTGTAATGGAAGCAATGAATCAGTGTACAAAAACAGGTGCTGTAGTCCTGTAACTTGCAAATCAACCTATTCTTTTCATGCATTACTATACATTTCAATGAAAATTACCCTCTCTCATTTCAACAGAATTCTACCTGCGCACCCACAAATTACTTCCTTTCAACAGCTAGTACAAACTCCATAAAATGTACAAGCACACATTTATTTAAACACCCTTCAAATGAGCAATCACCACATTATACCTTGTTAACATACTGTAAGTTAAGCACATTAGTTAGATTTGCAGGGCACCAACATTTCCAAGGGCAGTAAAAACAGAAAAGAAACAAGAGACCATTTGTCGCAGTGTTTAGTTAATTTAGATACAGTAGTTTAATTGCTGGTAGCTAGTGGATTTAAAGATCATTCTGCTGCTTCTTGAATGAAGCCAGAGTATCTGCTTAATCAAAATGGCTGTATAGTTTGTTCTATACTCCAAAACTTTGTGTAGAGTAGTTCCTCCTGCTTTCCATTCCAAATGCACTGTGATGCAGTTTTCAATGGAGAAGTCTTGTTCGTGTTTCATGGTACTTAAAGCAGACAGATTAAAGTAACACCCTGCACTGCTGCCCACATTCTCCTGGATGGTACTGCTGCACATTCAGTGACAGTTACACTCTGTACCTTATAACTACTTAGCATACTGTGTGTGATAACTAACCCCACTGCAATTTAATGTTGAATAAACACCTCCATTTTATTCCTTCACAGCTAATGTTTTCCATATGTATCTTGATCTTTAGCATTATCTCAACAGTAATACTGTATGTAATCCTTTCCCAGGAGATTTTCTCAGAGCTGGATGTACAGTACCAACAATAACAACTATAGGGGACTTCCCCCAGTATTGTTCAGTTACAATTAAAGTTGCACCTGAATTTTAAAATGCCAGCAGACATTTTTGAGAGTCATCCTTCTATATTTTACAATAAAGTGCTGAAAAAGAATTTTCAGTGAGCATTTGGCACATCTATTATAATTGTATATAATACTTTTTTGTATTCAAAAACGTTATCATCAACAATTCAGCCTTAGACTATGGGTAAGCAACGAGAACTAAACATACATTGTTTCTGCAATGCACTTAAACCCAAACAAAGTAATGAATACTTTTGCAATGAATAGAAATTCCAGTCTTCTCTTCTTTACCCTTCCCGTTGCCAGGGTTCTGGGTCCTTGTGAGGACTGCGAGCAACAGGTCTTTTCAAACCCCTTCAACTACAGTAGGTCAGTCCTTCTCGGGGTAGAGTGTATGAATGATATCACCAAGAAGTGCACAAACAGGAGAGGAGCTCTTCAATTCTCATGTTGTTCCTGATTCTTTTCAAGCGAAGAATTTTGTCCTTTTTTCAATGAGATAAAAATTTTAGAAAGATTTTAGTAGCAAACAGGTCTTATGTTTTTCTTTCTTAGATTTCATTACAACAGGTAGAAAATCCAAAATGCCACATAAATTCCAGAGTTCAGCTTTCGTCATCAAAAACACACAAGAAAACCAAAAAGCTAAAAAACCCAGAGGTTTTCCTTAATTAAAAAAAAGGAAGCAGGGAAATTTAAAGAGGAAATAGTTTTGTTCTGTAAGCTGTTCAGAAATGTGCTTTTTTTCTTGATGGGACAAATAAAGCCAGGCCTAACTGTCTCTTTCCAAAGGCAGTCTGCTCTGAAGCCTTGCCCTACCCCAGCACAAGATCAGATGGATAAACTATCAATCACCCAAGCAACATTAACTTCTCATAACCAATTAACGTATTACAGGTGTTCAAACAATCAAACAGAGCAAGCCTAGGGCAGTTCTTACACTCTTATTAAGACAGTTGATTTTGATAAATTATGATAAATTATTCCACTTTCATAAACCATTAATCCTTTTCATACATTTTCAGGGTGTCTGAGTTGCGGTTCAGATTTGCACATCAATCATCTTGACATTGAATCAGTATGTCCAGAGATTGAAGCCAAACGTTTACACAACCTACCAAAAGTTGGAGCATTTTGCCTTCAGTGTGGAGGGAAATACAGATGTTAGTTTTTATAAAGCTTTTTGTCTCAGTGAACAAGTTGAATAAGATGAATGAGAATGATCACTTAAAGTATATTTTCAACTATTTTATTTTAACTAAAGATACACTGATGTTCAAGGTCAAAACACATTTTTATTACAGTTGGTGACAACAAATCTTTTTACACATTTTCTCAGAAGGGAATGTGTTTCAGGAGAGCACAAACAGGTGACTGAGGAATCCAAAATGTCTTATCTTGGCTGTACAGTACATCCAGAAATAACAGAGCAGCCTGAAACTCATTGCATCACAAATAAATCAAACTTATCAAATTAAGGACTTTATTTTTTGGAGGAAGTAATTCAATTAAGACTTTTAACACAAATGTCGTTGCACTGGAATATTCCTAAACTGAAATGTTAATCTAGTAGCACACTTTTCATCAGACCTTATACACTGGGACCCCTGGTGTTCATTCCTGGGCACTGCAGGGATCCATAGAGGCAATTATTAAGATGCCCTCTCTCTGCTCTTCCTTCTCTTGGTGTGCTCTGTACTTTCAGTACCAGGGTTAGGGCTCTGCTGTCCAATGTCTCTTTGTGTCCCTCTCCTTACTCTCGGCATACAGCCAGGTCAGGGTCTTCTCTGGGCAATTGCAGCCCTAAGGATAGAGCAGCATTAGAGCTCAGGTTTGTTATTGCTGTCAGCAACTACTGCTCTCTTGCCCTAAGATATTAAGCTATTACTGTAAATGGTTACTTTTAAGGTCATGATTGGGACAAGCAAAAAGTATCTTAAACCTCATATTAGGAACATATGTTTCATCAAAGTGCCAACATCAAATATGACCATTTTTAATATGGGATATAACAGTACGAATGTCTATGATTATAGTGTTCTCAGATCACTTCATTCCTCCCTTCTGATCCTACGAATTTGTGGTGGATGGATCTAGTCCTAGCTAGATTGTTAATAAGCGATTAAACCCAAATGAGTGGGCTTGACCCAATTGTGATCTGAAAGCTTGCTTAGGATAAAATTAATAAACATTGCTGGAATACTATATTATTTAAAATACAAATACTGTGTAATACTCAAAACTACAAATGGCTTCTAAAAATATTTTTGTTTTTGGAAAGAATTATTGATCTATTAGTTGTAAATAAATCGTGGCTGTGTGTGCTGTGTTAGAGAAGACATTTCCGGCTCTGTACCGTCTGTTGCTACTACCAGCAAGGTACAGTTTAATCAGTCTGATTATTCAGATTCTTACCTGTTTCTGTGTGAGATGCCTCTTGATCCAGACCAGGACACAGCACAGGAGGTGAAGGAGCCCACTGTGCTCAACACACAGACGGCAGCCTGCCCTCACTGTCTCTGTGGACAAGGGGTCAAGGGTCCTGATCATCTGGGCCCAGCTCTCAGAGCTCTTCCCCACTCCTCACATTCTGGTGGGTCACAGGTCAAGCTTACACCATTCACTTCCTGAGGCTGCCAGTGGGATGCTTTAAGCTGTCAGAAGGAATAATAAAGTTGAATTGATCAAATACAGTAGGAATTTTAATAAAGATTTTAGGAAAATGTGTTCACTGTATGAAATTGAGTTACATAGAGCCACTGGCTCTGGGCTTTTCGCTGGTGGATTCTCCTTATGATCAGTTTCATATGAAGGCCTTTCTAGGCGGCTGAATGACTGCTCATATGGATGAACAAATTATATGATAATCTTTTGTACTGGCTAAGATAACCTTAATAATAATAATATCACATCAGAATATGACTGGTGAAATTATTGTATACTCTATCCCAATCTTAACGAGTCAATAAAGTAGTAATATTTTGGTGCTAAAAAACTTGTTAATTGAACAATAAATTGGAAAGTCATTATGGAATAACTACTGTTTATTTAACTTAAAAAGGAAGGAATTTGTTAGCCCAGTACAATAGATTAGCATTGCCCACTGTTGCCTACCGAGGAGCCTATTAATGAGCTGCCCAGTCTTCTGTCTATCCTTCCTCAGCCTCCACAGCTCCTCCTCCTGTCTGATCAGCAGTTTAGCCTCAGTGGGCACCAAGTGGATCTCTGCAGAGATTGGGACCATTAGCAAACTGCCCTCCCCACATTAGAAGCCCAAAAGCTGCCAGTAGGGTCTTCACAGCCTGCATCTTCTCACTATGATAGCCAGACACTACAGTAAATGCCTAGTTCATCAGTAGCTTGTTCTTGTGAAAGACTGGAACCTTGATGCTAAGGGTTCTAATGACATCACAGAAGGCCACTTGTGATGCAACATGTGACATCAGTTCATGAGTATTAATATTTTTTCAAAATACATGTATGCAAAATGTAATACACTACAGTAGTACTAATCAAAATATCTGCCAGTTTTCCAGATACAAACTAGGTACATTTTAGCATGAACCACACCAAGGACAACTTTACTGATTTCCCCAACAATGGAATTCTAGTTTAGTACATATCCATTCACAGACATCAGTTACCATCAGTCCTACATTTTCTAATGTTATTTTAAAAAACTAAGGTAGTAAAAATTACAACAACAAAATAATATTATTAACAATAATACTATTTAAATAATTTCAACTTTAACCATTAAACCTTTTATTTCACATTTCTATAAATAATATATTTACCCCTTGATTGGTCTAATAAGGTGCCATCTTAATTTTTACTACTTTCTTACTGTAAATACATCTTATTGAATGTCACGATCAGACTAGAAAATGACAATGATGGTCATTGCAATGCTGGTAAAAATGAAATGATAGATTTCTGTTTAAATAGGTTTTGTTAAAATACTGAGAAAGCAGAATAAAGCAAATAAAATACAAATATACTAAAGATGCAAATTAACAATACAAAAAAAAGGAACTCACAATATAAAAAATAAGAAGAAAAGAGCAGAAGATAACAGAAAGCACCTGAAATTGCTGTCAGTTTTTTCACCAGCAAAATACAACCTAGATTAATTTACTTTTATAAAGTCTGCAAAACGAGTGCAATCAGATGCAATTAAAAGGAATCTCACCACTCATCCCACCTTGACAAATAGAGTTTCTGGTTGCATTTAGACCTGCAAACAGAATATATTGTGCCTGGACTCTGGAATTATTACTGAGAAAAAGCAGTCAAAAGCTCAGGGATACAGTCATCCCAGTTAAATCTGAAAGCGCATTAGTAATTTAGACCCAAAAGTGCTTTATCACAGGACACTCCCAAAATATGAGTAGCTTTGTACAAGGTACACCTTGAGTGACTGTGAGGGAAATGGGAGGGGACTGATTTTTTACATGAAAATCATCTAGATTAGGAATTAGATCCCTTCTGTTGGCTGTTGAAACATTAAGATCAGACACAGGAAGCGAAGAATTTAAAACAGTGTCCCATGGCAACCAATAAGTACAGAGAGCTGAGTGGAGACACATAAAATAGAGAAAGTCTCCACTCAATTCTGATACATGCGCAGTCTGCAAAACAAGAGTTTCTTCATCATTAAAAACACCAGCCTTTCTTTTCAAAATAGTTTCTTGAAGTCTAAATGTGACCTGAGCCCTGTAATGTATGGCCACCCCTCATAACATTTTTCTTTAGCAAAATGAAAACAGATGTAGAATTTCTCCAGCCAAAACTCCCTTGTGACTTAATGTGCAGTGTCGTTGTTGTAAGAGGCTTTACTAAGTATTTGGTTGTACTTGGTTAAAACAAAAAAAAAAACAGCATGTTTGTGGGTCCCTCACAACCAGGTCTGGGAACTCCTTTTTTAAAAGATGCCATCTTGAGCATGAGAACCACAAGACAAACTGTTTAATTCCTTCCATGACTGTACACCTCAGGCTGAGCATTTGCTGTCTCGGGAGACATGTGGTAGTGTACTGCAGAACCCAGTCATGGTGAGCTTGGGCTCTCCTTAATGCTTTCCCTTTGCTTCCTCATTCTGACATCTTTGGATATTAGTGCTGAGATCTTTCCCAGATACTTCTCCCCTATCTTGTTCAGTTAAAGGCCATACTCAGTATAAATATATGCCACGGACACTAATCTTGAATCCAAGCCAATGGATCTGGGATATGTACTGTACACTTGGAGTCTGCTTATGGAAATTTTATTCTATTGAATATTAAGTCTAAGCTCCATCTTTTCATATATTGTACATCATGTTGAAAACAATCTGGAAAATCAAACTGTGACACAATTAGCATACAGGTGTTTAGTGAGTCTATAAGTCTTATGTTGAATTTACCATCTGATCAGTAGGTCAGCTGTGCTCCAGAAAAGAGCTTGTATGTTTTCAAATGGCGCACAGCAGAAAAAAAAACAATGAAAATAGGGCTGGTGTATGAAACACCCTTGGTTGACTCGTGTTTTGAATTCAAAACTATTGAGGACTACTGCATGCATAACATTATGAAGAAGGCAAAAGATGCTTATACTGTAAGTATTGAAGGGCTTCCGACATTTAGGAGGAAGTTCATTTCTAACATGACTTTCATAGCCTCCTTAGCTAGTTGAGTTCAAAGCTCATCTCTAATTTGGCATTGTTGGATACTGTTATTGAGCTGAACGGTACATATTGACAATGAGTGTGCCTCTACTGATCCTGTAGAAGCACCTTTCACACTAGGGTGAGCTTACTATGACTATTACTGCTTGGATCCAAAACTCTACTGTTAATGCTTGCTGTTAATAATGGGAACCTACCCAAAGCGAGAAAACATGCTTTACTTATTAACTGCCTCGGAGCAGAAGAACAGCATATTTGTGATACTTTGCTTTCAGCTCATGAAAAATATGAAACTGCTCTTAATGCACTAAAGAACGTTGTTGCATGGAATGTGTACAGTATGTGGTTGCTGAATGTTATAATTTTGCTAGCGCGGGCAGTGAAATAATGACAGAGCTACGGAGTACTGTATGTTACAGCTTTGCGAGAAATGCTTGTTTCATGTAATCTGGAGATCTTACAGATGCAATGATCTGAGATCAGTTTGTAGAAAAAAACACATTTTCTCCAATCAGAGATACTGTTTTTAGAAACTGAGCTAACGCTTGCAAAAGCTAGTACAATGGCAAGCTAGATTGAATCAGCAGTGGTGGAGGCACAAACATTGAATCAGGGTACCGTACAAGCCATGAATCCTGCACAGAGGCCTGATAAATTATGCTCACAGAACAATTAGAATAAAAATAGAACAAGATTGCCTATACAAATGTCCATAGCTGTGAATACCCAGAAAAAGACACATTTCAGTGTGGATCAACACAGCACACTGCAAATTATGCTGGATGCCCTGCAAAAGATGCACAGTGTCATAAGTGTAAGACAAAAGGACATTTTGTGAAAATCTGCTACAGTTTGCCTTCCAGAGAATTATATAAAGTAATTACTCCTAAAGTGACTGACTTTAGCATGAAAAAAACAAGTATCTACATTCCAGAAAAGGTTATGTCCCGTTACTGTACTGCATCTGAAGAAATGGCATACTGTATTCACTTAACTTGATGTATGATACAAGGTCAACTGTTTCCATACTACCAGAGTCTCTCTGCTTGAATTACAGTACTTTGTAGCATATTTAAGGTATCCATTTTCTTTGGTTGGTTTACTTCATGTGACTAAATTATGAGTCAAACTGAGCATACTGATTTTTATAATATAAACAAAGACACTTCTATATTAGGCAGATATAGTTTTATTGCGTTGAACATTTAGTTAGTGAATGGTTGCAATACTACCTAATTTTTCCTCCATGCAACCAGTGTCAACAATTTCATCACTCAGTAATGTAACTTTTGCTGTGCACATGGTTTTGTGCTTAAACTAAAAATAGGTTCCGATTTGAACCAGTCCACTAGAATCAGTAAGAGATTAAGTTTCTCAGGAGCTAAAACTAGTGGAACAGGATATAATTGAGAAAATTGAGTCTTCTGAATTGTTTCACCGATTGTGGTGATGATGAAGAAAACAGAAGGTAACAACTGTTGTTATTGGGCAGTCATAAACCACGAGAGGCCAGAGTATTCCTGTTACGATCCTGTGTTGGTAACACCTAGCTTTGTGACTCTTCTTCTCCAGTTCTGAACCAGATGCTATTATCCACTCTCCCTTTCTTTAGCTCCAGACTCCTGGATTTACTGGCCTTACAAGTCATCCTGGTCCACTTAATAAACTCTTCCACCATCCATTTCCCTTGCCCGATTGTGTCATTATTGTCATGTCACCCCTAAAGGCTGTTGGTTGTACTTTTTATTTCATCATTAGTCCTCAGCTTGTTCTTCCAGCTTACTCCAGAAGCAGATGTAATTCTGCAGCAAACAAGTTAAGAGATTGTGCAGCCAGTCCCAATCAGCCGCACGAGTCTCTTTCTCTTGAACCTTATCCTGAATCCATCAATGTAATTCTTCAGAATCACATGGATTTTGCAGGGCATGTGATATTTCTTGAGAATTGTGAAAACTATCTGGTGTGAAATGGAGCCAAGTGCATTGGTCTAATCTAGCCATAAGACTGCCAGATTACCATTGAGCACCTTCATCACTTGATGATTTGGCTAATGCACTATTATGTTCTAGGCAGCCTGATATTCCTGGTATTCTGCCATTTTGTGATGTTATATCTATATACTGATTTTCCAGCATGTACTGGGTCATTCTACTGGTGATAAAAGCTAGGAAGATCTTTTCTTCCATGTGAAGGAGAGAGATAGTCCCTGTTTTTTTGGACTTCCATTACAGTGAAGCACTCCTGTGCAGTTTTCCAGCTCTATGGAATCTTCCCTTTCCTTCATATCATTCTCAAAAGCTGCTAGATCCTTGTTTTCAGTCTCATTTGGTTCTGCCATATCAAATTCCATTTGTGGCATAAGAGAGCTTAAGAGCTATTCCTGCTCTCCCAGGGCCTGCTCCCTTAATGGATTGCTATACATCTTCTTCAAATACACCTCTACCTTTGGCTTTGAGCACTTCAGATTCCTACTTTTCTTGTGCTGTAATAATCTTGTCGCAAATTTGTTGGGGTTTGATGTAAACTCTGCCCTTTTCCCGGATTGCACCTTCCTGTGATTTTCTGCATGCTGAGCTGCACAGTTGTTTATTGAGTGGGTCTCCCAGCTCCTTCAGGCTTTGCTTCTCCTTTTCCCGTGCTCTGTGATAATGTTTCTGAGCTGCCTGAGGTCTTCCATTATGGCTTTAATTCCCCACTGACTCCAGCTGCCCAGTTCCATTACAGGTGCTGCCTTCTTGCTCTGTATTCCAAATCTTTCACAGCCCATATTGTATACCATGGTTATCAGTGCTTCTTGCTTCTTCTATACTTCACTGGCAAACATGTTTTTCTATACAGTGCCTATGTTCATATTGGATTGGGCCCACTTGAGCCACTCAATAGCTTTGGGCCACTGCACTCTCTGTTTCCTCTCGGGCATGCCCTGTTCTTGCCTGGATCTTTCAGCGCTCAGACCTTTGGTACTCTTCACTTCCATTTCTACCACCTTCTTGAGGACCCTGTCTCTACGATTTGTCTCTTGGCTTGGGTCCTCCCTTGTCTTGTTGTGTGTTTGAACCATTTGCCCGTAGACTTCCTGTTCTCAATATTTCTATCTCTGAAGAAAGATTCACATTCTGCTGAAACAAACTGAACAATTGTCTGAAATTAATTCTTTAGGAATGCCTGCTGTGCTAAAATTGAGAGAAATTCATAAATCAGTAGCAGATGTGA